GACTTCGGGACCAATAATTAGGCACCTAATGATGTCCTTTGCCTGGCTGCCTCTTTCCCCTCATGTTATGACTTCACACAATTTTTTTGGACACAGATTCCTCCTTTCAAATCACTGCCAATGCTGTTTGGATATTGCTGAAGTTGCACTTTTGCATTCTCCAGCTGCAAAACTAATATACGATACATTGTCACAGAGGTAAGAGACATGGCCACAGTGGAGGAATGATACAGACTGGAAAAAAAGCAGCACACAGCCTGCAGCCTGGAGTCAGGGAGCGGAAATGGCAACAGCGGAGGAATGGAGCCATGCAGAAAGCAGCACACAGTGTACTGCATGGAGCCAGGGAGGAGAAATGGCCACAGTGGAGGAATGGAACCATGCAGAAAACAGCACACAGCCTGCAGCATACAGCTAGGGAGGAGAAGTGGCCACAATGCAGGAATGGAACAGTGTAGAACACAGCACCCACCTGCAGCATAGAGCCAGTGAGGAGACATGGCCACAGTTGAGGAATAAAACTGTGTAGAAAACAGCACCTAGCCTGCAGCATAGAGCCAGAGAGGAGACGTGGCCACAGTGGAGGTATAAAACAGCGTGGAAAAGAGCACACAGGCTGCAGCATAGAGCCAGGGAGGAGAAGTAACCCCATTGGAGGAATAAATCAGTGTAGAAAACAGCGCACAGCCTGCAGCATAGAGCCAGATAGAAGTGGTTTTATCTCTGTTTAAAACCTTTTCAAAAGGGGAAGAATCCCAATTGATATATTGTTTTTCCATATCAAATTTATCTGGCAAGATCCCCAACACTGTTGCCACTGACGGAACTACCGGGGTCATACCTGATAAAGGGGTAGAAAGGCATCATGGCACACTCACAAACCAGCATGTAAAACAACTTGTCTCACCACTAAGGACAATGACAGAGGTTTGGATACACGTCTTCTGCAGAGGATGTGAAAGCCGCACTGCCGCGCCAAGGCACCTCTATATAGTGCGGTCCTAACTCTAAACTATGAGAGTCTCCATCTTGGAGCATATGGGGGCAGAAGATATCAAATTGGGTAACTGGTAACAAATTGTTGAGTGCGTTTGTCGTTTGTTTTGCCATACCTGATAAAGGGACCCCGAGTGGCCCCGAAACTTTTCTTTGAGACGAGATGTGTGTACATCAATAAAATGACCACTCGTTGAAGATTTTACTGTGGTGTGCTGGTGATATATTTTACTACTTGGATTTGAAGTGGCGCCATTCCCTAGCACTGCAGCACCCACCTTAAAAGGGACGTACCCGTAAGAAATGCAGTGAGGACCTTTTTGGACCTCGGGTTCTAGTTATGCCTCTGACTGTTGCAGATATATGCCAAGAGCTCTCTTTAGATCTAAAGATTTCAAGAAATTGCAGCCAGTCAAGTTTTACAACTTCTTCCGTGGCACATTCCCAAGGCCTAAGTTGATTTTTATCTCAGAATATTATGCTGTGGACACCCGATGGAGAGTTACCGACATTATTTAAGCATACAGTTCTCATGGTTCTTCTTGGCTTAGATGCAAAAAAAAAACCCATTAGACTCTTATGATTGGAAAAATATATTTGATACCCTTCTGGGATCCATTTTGAATCACATTCACTTATTGTACTCTGCTCCTATTTTTTTAATGAAACCCATTCTTGCTCCCCCACATAGGATATGGCAAAATTACAAATGGCCTTTTAGACATAGGAGAAGTCAGTGACTAACTCAACACATCAGCAGCAAACCATTGCTGCAATTAGCAATTAGGTGACCGTAAAGTGCATGCCAAGCCAATTTTTCTTTTTTTTTTTCATAGAGTGAGGAAGAATTAGGACTGGAAATTAGGTTTTCACTGCTATCCAGTGCTCCAATACAGAGATTTCTCCTCACTTTCTGCCATGTGACAGTCATATTTTACAAAATAGGCAACACAATGAAAATATGGCATTGTACTAAAATATATACATAAATAAAATATACTGAAAGCATGTACTGTATTTCCGGGAGGTAGCCTCTTATAACTTTTAACTACTGGCTCTTCAGAATGCTGGCGGTTTTGGGGGTTCACTGAACTGGGCAAAGTGGATGTGCTGTTGTGAATTATGGATTTGAGAAAACTGTTTATGTGGGTTTTAGAAACAT